ACAAAAACACTCAAACGGCGAAGATTAAATGAGGTTTTGATGGGAGACTGTTCTCACATGTGTAGGCTAGATATTAGATACCAGGAAACTCACCTGGTGGAATATTTGTAGTATATTTATATCAAACCAAATCTAAAATGTTCTGACTCTCAAGAAGTGTTTCTCTTAGATCATCTGTCAAACCGAGCTAGAACTCTGTTTCCTCTCATGTTTGAACCTAAGAGGATTTAATTTCCTGTTTGGCTGTGACTCCATCCTGGAGAGAAATATCAGCTGTGCTGCTGCCATCAACACCTTTGTTTCTAGATGTTGGAGCTTGGCCTGTTTTCCAGTGTAGTCCTGTTTCTCTGACTGTGACTAACTGGATGTGCTCTCTTCATCCTCTGACATGGGAGCTGGCTCGGAGCTCGTCTGCCTGGCTGTGTGTTTCCTGGACGGGGCCGCCTGTGGAGCTGGTTGACAGTTGCCTTTTGTATCTATGCTTCTTTTTCTATGTCTGCTTCTGTCTCCTTGAACCCCAGTGGGCCTCAACAGATGGCCGCTCACACTGAGCCTGGTTCTGCTGGAGGTTTCTTCCTGTTCAAAGGGAGTTTTTCCTCTCCACTGTCGCTACAAGCATGCTTAGTGTGAGGGATTGCTGAAGAGTCAATGAGTCGATGCAATCAGCTGGTTTTCCTTAGATAGAAAACTTTGAATCAATCTGACTGGATGATCTGGTGAACTGGAAAGTGAGCTGAGATGACATGATGTGAAATGGAGCTATAGAAATAGACTGAATAGAATTGATTTATGTTCTGTTAGGAAAGCTTCATGCATGAATATGAGAAAAGAATGTCAACAGTAACATAAACCACTAATCCAACACAAACTTGGTGCTTTTCATTAAGCATAGAGGTTTAGCAACTTATGTCTGAAAGAGTTATTGGAAATAACTGTAAATGATTTACGTCCAAACGACGTCTACATTCGGTTGAAAAGCGAATGTTGAAAAGCCATCATTTTCAGATCGTTGAAAAGACATGAAAACTGGGTTTGCAGTAGCAAACCTGTGTGTAACGGCAAATAAAGTGATATATTGTCATGGAAATAAGCTTTTTAATCTAAAATGCTGCTAAAGACATTGAATAGGATAGAGACCGACATCAAGATGTTTCCGTCATCATCAAAGGCCATTTATATTAATAAGATATGTAAGACGTGCAGCAAAAAGTCATATTTTCTTTAAGCAGAGGACCTGATAGTGGATCTCAGGCTGAAACTGCTCTTCTTTTTCACTCAGTCTCATTAAACTTCTGATCATCACATAAAACCAAATCTGGATGTTTTTTTATCTATAGACAAAATATGAGCCAAATTTAAGATAAATGTCTTTGAATAATAATAATAAAAGAAATCACTTTCTGGGATTCAGTTCAGTTATCTGCAGCTGGACGTTTCAGTCCAAAGTTTCAGCCTCATGTGACAAATTTACCTTCAAGCTTCAGTCACATTCAGGCTTTACCGTCAACCGTCAGTAATCAGATTACATCTGACCAGATCGGAGGTCTGATCTAAGTGCTGCAGGTAAAGGCGTGGAATCGGGAGGCGACCTGACCTGGCATCGGTGCAGCGGGAACACACTGTCTGCCCGCCACTGTTGGGAAATTGAATTGTGAACAGAACGGTTCCTAACGGCACTGAAAGGGAAATTGCTTCTATTCTAAACTCAGGAAAGCCTTTGATGTTGGCTGGAATAATTTTATGCCTACTTCGCTCTCATTTTCCACTTTCTGCTTGCTTTTGAATTTTGATTGCGACTACAGGCGCTCTCCGGTCCGTGTGCATTATGAGCTGTGTCATAATTCCAGGGCCTTTGTCAGGAACAAACACGTCATTTGTCCTCCTGAATGTGACGGCCTGTTGTGTGACTGAACACCTTCGCTTGGTTCAAAGGGAGGTTTGTGCTTTCACACTGAGGAGAACCGTGTGACAAAATGAAATCTTTTTTCTCTTCTTGTTTGGATTTTCACGCCTGGGCGGGTCGTGAACATCATGTGTTTATTGATGCCCAATCTCCTGCTCAAACTTGGCATTTGGCGGCTCGTTCCTTCGAGGAACAGCGGAACTTGAGAGGCCCAAAATACCATGAGGTAATTGGACTGGCTTTATCTTCAGTCTCATCAATTAATGTGCAATTTTCCATTTAATCACTAACACGCTTGCTGCATTTGCAATTAAAATGAGGGCTGATAACAGAGAAGATGTCTTTCAGCTGATACCAGCTGGAATGAGAAGAGAAACCAGAAGATGCAATCAGAGCGCGGGATGACTCGATGAGGCACGCGTGGCACACAAACAAGTGTGAAGACTCACAGCGCCAAGATTGATGCTCATCTGATACCGAGCTCAGTCCGCACACATCTATACGCATCACAGTCAGGAACAACGAGGCCTGTTCAAAACGCAGCTTTTCAGCTAAAACCCTAAATTAGAAACCAAACCAGCGTTTATTATCAGCTCGCTCGGCTCTGATGCCGATCAAACGGCGAAGCGTCTCAGTTCTATTGTTCTCCATGCAGAGGATCTGAATCTCTGAGTCAGGCTGTTCGTTTGACAACAAAGAGATTCCAGCACAGAACAAATGCATAAAGGACAAAACATCGTCGACATGAAGAAGAATGGAATGGAGAACCATGGCAGCGAGCTGTGCTGATCTCAGGATCCTGGAAAATCTTTATTTTTCTGTCCTGCATCCTTTGTTTTTGCTTTGTTTATTGGGAAGCAGAAAGTTTCTTTATAAATACTGTATATTTTTAATGAGCAGGACTAATTCTGTCAGCAACTTCAGATTTTTATTCTTTTAAATATTGTGATTTTAATATAATTTATAATCAGACATTTTAATCTGAATCTAGTTTTTGTTGATTAAACTGTTTTACCCACATGCAGAGTAGAAGAGGCAGAGGTGATGTCTTGAAAATTTAATTAAGAAGTAAAAATAAAAAATCCATAATCCAAAACTAATCGATAAGAAAATTACAAACCAAAAATCTAGGAAACAGTCAGGAGGAATTAACCTAAAGAATGACGAGGATCCAGCAATGAGGAACTGAACAGGACTAATTAGCTAATAGGGAGCAGGTGTGGACAGAAGTAACTCGAAGGACGTACAGGGAAAGGAAAAGACAGTAGGGGGCAGCAGAGAGTAACCAGGGAAAAACAACAGCATCTAAAGTAACTAGAAGAGAACTTTAATGAGGCTAAAGGGCGCGATGGCAAAAGTTCTC